CGTCGACTCTCCCGTCTGCTTGGTGTATCTTGGACTCGGGGCTCTACTGCTGGAGGAGGCTGTGCGTTGAACGGTGTTTGCAGTAGTTCTTCAACATTGACGGGCACTGCGGCCTCCTCTGCATCAGGGGAACATTCTGGTTGCTCTTCTTCGATCGGCTTGATGGGTTCCAAATCGGGAGCTTCAGCATCGGCCAAATGCTTTGCCCACTCATTCGTTCGATAGGATTGTACCACTTTAGATGTCCGCTTTGGCAGTTCCTTCACCGTCTCTTCGTTCAACTTGGGAGGTTCAAGCTTGATCGGCTCTGGCTCAATCCTGGGTTGTGGCTCTGGAGACTTGCGTTTGTCATGCGGAGTTACTCTCTTGGTTCCGTTACAGCTCTGAGGGGACGGCGGCGATGGATCTTCTGCAAGAGATTTCGTATTTTCGCTATCGGTGATATCAGTCTTTTCGGGACCGTCGGAGTGGGGTTTATTGCATTCGTGATCTTTCAAGACAACTGCTGCAGCCTCTGTGTCCTTGGTGGCATTTGTCGGTTGTCTTCCTTCCCCAATAGCTGATTCGTCTTGGTATTCAGCGGGGTTTGATGAAGATCTTTCAGGCTTTTCTTCTTCTTGGACGATGTCCGAGGCACGTCCAGAACTTCCATTACTCTGTCGGTTGACCATTGTCAATGAGGTCTCCGAAGCTGCGGTATGTGATTCTGCGTTGAGGGCCCCTTTGGTCTCGTCTGTCCCAGGTCCCTCTTCGATGGCTGGGGTGGGCGATTTTTCGCTTCCTTTCTGAGTGCTTCTTTCACCACCATCTCTATCAATTGGTGACTTTCTGCCATGGGACTGGTGGTCAGGTTTTGCCTGCGGCTGCTCATTCTCATCTACGTGAGACTTCCCATCCGACTTTGGAACTTTCCCCGTAAGTCCAGGGCTATCATCTTGAACAGTAGGACAATCTGAGTCCAGGTTGCCGCCCTCGTCTACGGTGCCGTGCACAGATGAGGTGCCATCATCAACGGACACCAGGGCCTCTTGAGACTGAGACATGGGCAATTTGTCGTTTCGAGACGTCCGTGGCATGCACGATGGCCCGGATAGTCGCTTTGAGCGGATCGTTGCAGTATCTGAACCAATGACAGCCGTCATATCAGAACTTTTATCGTCCTTTATCTTGGCTGCATCTGCACCGTCAAAGACCTTGATCGGCAGTGGGCCACTTTCCTCCTTCAGGTTATCTGATATTTCTTTGGCCGTTCCAGTCGGGGCGTGGTCGAAGTCACCTTCAGTCGCTCCCGTCACATCTGACCCAGCATCGCTGTTTGCCTCTCTTTCCCTGCAATCGGAACAGCGGTAGGAGCCTTCAGATGTCTCAGCTATGCTTTTCATGTCGTAGACGTCTCCCTTCTCCATAGCATCCATCTCGTCTGCCTGACATTTGGTGTCATCTCCGAGTTCCGAAACGCCTGCGGCTGGTTCGGCACCACCATATCTCGCTTCCCACTCCTTCCGCTCTTGCATATTCTGCTCTTCCAGCTTTCGTCCGAGTTCGGCCTCGGCTTCTTCCTTCTTTTTCTGCTCTTCATCGCGCTTCTCTTTCTCCTTCCGTCGACGTTCACGAACCACTTTCCATAGCCTCAGTTGTGAGACCACACCCAAGATAGCAATAATAACTGTAGCAGCAAGCTCCACACGAATATTACGGGTGATAGGATACGTATTCGTATTCAACGGGAAGATGTTGTCGTTCAGACCTAGAACTGGTGTCAATTGCTTTGCCCTCATTCGTGACCGAGATCAGACTGACTTACCCCATATGTAGAGCCAAAACTCTTTCAACCCTGCCCGACTAAAACAATCGATTCCAAGTGCAACAGCGGTGCCCCCGGAAATACCAGTTGACACAATCAGTCCGTAAGGACGTGTATGATGACTGAATGACAAGGCATAGAAAGCAACTGAGATTGCACCGATGAACCCACTTTTAGAATCGGTAGTGGTGAGAAGACCCCCCGGTTTCAAGGAAAGCAACCACATGCTACTGCAAAATCCCCCAAGTAGGCATCCAAGGCCTTCGGTCAATTCCTTGAAAACGATCGCAAGCGCGCCGAATGTAATGCCAGTAAAGAATACGGCAACGAGGTACGCCCCCTGCACGGCAACTCGGACAGGAGGGCTCATCACATAGACAATAAGAACCTATAGGAGAGGATAATCAGACGACTAGCTTATCAAGGCTTATGAGAAAACCTACCGTCACCCCAAGGCTAGTCAGAAAAGCCGTGGATAGGAAGACTTGTACCCTAGATCACTTGTAAGACACGAAACCGAAGCCTATGAAGGATAGAGAACTAACCTCAGATTGCGAATGCCGATCACTGCGAGGATGGCGCCTGTGACAATGAGAATGAAACCGCCGATTCCCAGAGCAGGTGTAACTGTGGGCTGGATAGGAAGGGCATCAGGGCTGGTCGAGTTCTTGCCATCTTTGTTTCAGGTCAGTATCGAACAGGAATAAATGGGTTATTGGAATACAGGTTCCCTTGCCTTGCGATGCTTGAGACGTATTCAAGGACGTTATAGTTGTGGATGCTGGGAGGGTTGCATTCGACGACGCTGTGGAATTGCTGTGCGTTATCGCTGATTCTGTTACGCTTGGTGATGCTGTGTCACTGAAGGTTTCACTGGCAGCTGTCGTGCTCGCAGTGGCCTCTCTTTCTCCAAGACTGTTAAGCTCATGGGGTTCGGGAACTGAAGTTTGCGCGGCAACAAACAAGCCATGCGCAAGGCAGGCGAGCAGAGCAAACACAAGCAAGAATCGCATGGCGAATTTAGATCGATGACGAATCGCACAAGATAATCAGTGTTGCCGATAGGCTGGTTCCTGACTAAACGATGTCTGTGCCTCCGTACAATGGCAGTGGGATTCAGAATGCTGCCTGTGGTGTTCTCAACGGCCACTTTTTCACATAATTCCCATGCAGGCCGCAGACACTTGTAAGAGTAGGCCTATTTTCGCACGATCAAGTCTCGAGATAGGCAAAAGGAATCGGGGGAAGCGTGGCGTGATTCAGGCGGATTGCTCAACAGTACAATGATTTCATCTCTACCACCTATATGTAGCCATAAGGGAGAGCGAAATGGGAGGGAAAAGGTGGGCAAAGGAGACTACGAAAAAGAAAGCAAAGTAGGGGAGCAAAAGAAATAAAAAGTCCCCAGGCTTCACGTTGGAGGTGATCTAAAAATGACCGCTTTTCTTTTTCTTTTCCTTCTTTTTCAGTCTTGAAACCTAACCATTCCAGTCCGATAGCCACGGTCTGCTTCATCGGCAATTCGAGGAGAATAATGATGGTAGCAGTAGACTACCTGCACGAAAGATGCGGGCTGATCCACTCCCTGTCGCCCAAAAAAGCAATATCCTTCGCATGGTTGTGCATGTTAAATGGAATTATTTGGCAAGGATCCGCCCCTGCAATTCATTGACTTTGGAGTTGTCGAATAAGCATGGGGTACTCCATGCATCGTGATTAGACATTATCCATCATCCTCTATAAAGAGCAACGAACTGGACAAGAATTCTTGTCTACCCAATCGCAAACACATCCACCTACTTAATCGGTTCGAAACTGTGAGCCCCCCCCCCCTTGGAGAGCAGTGGAAATAGGGTCAATTGTATGTCACAGGCCAGATTTTTATCAGATGTCGGCAAGTCTCGGGAGCCTGGAAGGAAGAGCATAGGAGCGAATGCAAGCGTGCGATGGCCGGGTTTCAATAGGACGGCTGAACGCGTTGGCCTACTTGGCCACGGAAGGGCGATGACATATTGAGCGTAAGAGAAGATTGGCTCTAGCCCTGCCTTGTCGCGGTCTATGGTCCGGATTAAGATTTTCAATAGAGCGCAGGCTACGGAGTAACTTGGTTTGCAACGATCCAGGGACGCGACGACCGATCGTCGCGATTTGGCGATCAAAACTAGCACTACTAGCCGCCCATAGTTAGGCTGTTCGTGTGATCGGCTGCAGGTCACGACACATCTAATTTCAATCGCGGAGTTTTCAGCCTATCGTGCCCCCGGCTCGGAGGACAATGCTCATTGGGGTTTCTGACAAAGACAACGCGGTGCTCCCAATGGACCGTGCTGCTAGCCTAATATCCGACATGGCCTGATTTCCCAGGGGTTCTCCGTGACTATTGACAAAGTAGTCCGGGGCCACACGGAATCCTTGATCCTAGGAAGTATACGGTAGATATATGCGAGTGGATTCTCGGCCCATGGCTAAAATAAGGTGCATTAAAACTTAGCGGCCGGGAAGCAAAGTATGTGTGAACAAGGGCTTCCGTCGAGGTCGAGCGGTGTCGAGCAATGCGCCGTTTGTGGTCAAACCATCCGACGGAAACTTTGGAGGTTAGTTGAATCCCATCCAATGTCTGCCAGCACATGCCAATAAAGAATGCACGGTAGGTGCGGTGAGCAGAGTTTCAAGGGCAAGTGGAAGTCTTAAGAGGCATGCACTCTTGACGGCCAAACCTCGCATCTGTGCCTTGCTGCTTCCCCAATGGGTTCACAATATGACATCTCACAGGCTACAGCTGCATTGAAGCCAACTGCCTCGTAACTGAGCGGTTGACTCGCTTAATGTTCCCAGGGTTCAAAGTTTATGATTGATAAATGCATGCACCTGCAACACACAAAGCATCACCTAAAGTTATTTTTCATGCTTGCCAAAGCAAGATTGAACAGATAGCAGCCTGGAGATTGGTGATTTTGGATACGCAATGTGCGTAGATATGAGGAGTCCATTGATCAAGGGAGAGGAAGGGGTAAAGCACGGCCGACCTACAAACAAGGATCTTGTGTAAGATAGATAATGAGTTACTTGGTAGAGACATGGAAGGTGGAGGGCCCAATGGGGTATAGCGGATATAGTTTCACGTGACATATCGGTGACGCCGCGGAAGAGAGAGCTACTCTCAACTCCACTCGGAAACAGGCCATACCCTCGCTATAGCATTCCTGTCACTGTGCATCTCCTGCCTTTATTTTTTCTTTTCTAGAACCCAAACCTTCTCCCACTATTCCAACATGTCGGCCATTGCCTCTGCGCTGCGCCCTACCCTCCGCGCCTCCTCCGGCGCCGCCCTGTCCACGCGTTCCTTCAGCTCTTCCTCGTCGCGTTCCATTGCTCGTATCATGATCACGGGTCGTCTGGCTGGCCAACCCGAGGTGCAGGCCACCGCTTCTGGCCAGGAAGTTATCAGATACACCGTGGCCTCTAACCAGAACTCGAGGGATAAGCGCCCGCCGAGCTTCTTCAAGGTGTCGGCCTTCAGTGAGGGAAACCAGCGCGATTTCATCACCAACTTGCAGACGGGGTAAGTTCTCTTGCTCGTCAAATTCAATCCCTTCTTTAAACTGCAGATATCTGTGTCTGCTGTTCCATTGATTTCCTCCGGATGCACCGTTTCAAGTCCCATCCATTCCAATGTCCATTGCGCTAACTTGCTCTATTCCTATCACAGAACTCTCGTGTTTGTCGAGGGCGACGCAACCATGCGCCAGTGGGAGAACGCAGAGGGCAAGAAGCAGACGGCCCTGAACATCACGCAGCGTACGTCATCCTCCCTTAACCTAAATCCGATGAAACAAACCACATACTTTTCTCATGCTGTATTGCGGAAATGCTAATATGTCCTATTTTAATCCGCAGGCGCCCTCGAGGTTCTCAAGCGTCCGTACAACCCCGAAGCTTTCTCTGAGGAGCAGCAGCACCAGCAGCAGGAGGAGTAAACGGGAACAAATCATTGATCGGATAATACTGTAAGAGTTGGTTGGCAATTCTCAAATAATACCGGGCGGCAGGATGATGCAGCTGTCTTGAAGTCAGACATCACCCTATTCCTTTGCTGGCCTCAAGGTGTTCGATGCAGACTTCTTCTCAATTGTCGGTGAAATCGGGCACCATGGGCCACCCTGCCTGCCATCAGAAACTCTTTTCATTTGGGTTCTTCCAAAGTTTCCTTGGCCATATGTATCATGTCTAGCAGTCTTCTCATGTAAAGTATCCTTTTTCTTTAATTTTCTTCCTCATATGATATGCTCTCTATCTTTTCTCGGCATGACTTTGCGCGTATGTCCGTCTGTCTGCTCTGCTTGGGGCTCGTGTTGCTATAAATAGTTGTGTGTGTAATCTGACTGGTCTACTCCATACTAGGTGCTGCTGCTGCTACTCCGTACTACGTACTTACTTATCTACGTACTACGGCTTTCAATCTGCTGCACCGCTGCATGTAGTAGTTGACGCGTACGATCCGCTCAGGCAATGGCTGTGTCGCGTAGTCCGCCGTTGTTGATAAAAATAAAATGATATCAGAAGGTAAAGGCAAGTATTCGGAAACTTAGTACACGTTTTACGCGTCTGGCACGTTGAGCTGTCTGGTAGTACCATTTATTAATACATTGATCGTCGGCTACACTCTGGTTGTTTGTGATCAGCCTAAGCGGTTCCGTTAACTGACGTGAAGTAGGGGAACTTCTGGATGAGTTTCATGGGTTTGAATAACTGTCTCTCAAGGCAGGGTGGTAAGAGAGCATACAGTAGAGGTTATTGAGTAGCAAGGGGATTAGTCGTAAATAAAACACTGTATGTAGCCCCCCATCCCGCACGACCTTCCAGTGCTTGAAAAGAATTTCCACCCCAGCGGTGGATATTATTACACATGCAGCTCGCTCTCCTGTTTGATTACCTGCTTGACCCGGATATGATCCTCCGAAAGTGGCGCGGCTCCATGATCACTGCTTCCACGACTCTGGCTCACTCCAGCCCAGGCATTGGTACGAATTGTGGTTGTTTGCTCGGCCATATGGCGCAGAGGAATCGCTGTTTCCCGACTGGAGGCGGAAGGCCGACCTCGCAAAAACCAACGCAGTCCGTATCGCGACCTCCATTTTGATTGCTTGCCTGGTGACACTGCATCCTTTTCGATATCATGATAATCATGAGGAGATCGGCTTGCGTCGGCAGAATTATTAGAGTATGCCCTAGAGGTTCAGAGTTAGGCACGAGCAGCGTATCCGTAAGAGTACGGGCTCCCTTACCTTGGGGTAGTTGTCCATCTTCTATTGAATAGAAGCCTTGCCCGGCTACCCAGGGATCCTGACGCAGAGGAACCGTTCGCTGAGGAAGACTGAAGAGATGTAAAGCAGTTGCCAAATCCTAGGAAAACCAAGATCGCACGGTACATCATGAAGGCATCCCTTCCACTACCGAAGAAGATAAAGAACATATAACCCGAAGCTACCGGAATCCAACGGTCGTAGAAGACATGGCCCTCCACAGGAACCTTGATCACCTCGTTCCAGTCTGGTGGGTGTGCGACACTCCATGAGTATGAATGCCATGGCTGAGTGACGATAATGTTCGATGCGACAACATATGTCTGAACTGGGATGATAGCCCACAGCATGATAAAGGCGATCAAGAACAGCCGCATGAACCGTGACTTGGTCAAGTTACTATTGGCTGACTGAAGGATGTCCCCGAATTGGCTTCGGTACTTGGTCAGGCGATGTAGCACGATGACTAGTAGAATGTTAGTCTTCATTACAGAGCAGGGAGATATCAGACGCCCGTGGACGAACCGCAATAGTATCCAGCAATCAAGCAGATGATAAGTGGCCAGATCCAGGCGAGCACGAGAGTCACCCAGCTCCGGTCATAGTTATTGAGGCAACCAGCAATAGCATACAGAATGTACCTGTTTGACTGGTAGACGTAGTGCGTAAGCATCGCAACCACCGGGGCGATTGCACAAAACGAAAGAACCACTGCGTGATTCCACCAACGTTGCGACTGGGTTGGAACGAGGTTTGCGCGACTCGTGTCCAAAACCTGTGCCAGGGTGCGAAAAATGCAAACCAAGGTCCCGGGGATAGCAACATAGCTGGCAATCATGACTTTAACCTCAATATCGCAGAGTCCCTTGCCATCCCACCACGAATCAATGTCATCCGTCGGCCATATCAGAGCGTTGATGATATTGAAGATGTTGAGTAGGATATACCATAAGATCAAGCTGCTCGCTGCAACATTTCGGTTTTTGCAGTGCAGGACTAGAGGAATGATACTGAGAAGGACGGAGACAAATGCAGTAACCGGAAGGAGTATCGCCTGCGAAGAAACCGGTGCCACTGGAGATGCCATTCTGAGTCTTCCTTATCGAAGGACGGTCGTATCAACAGAGCATATGAGCCTGATAACTGCTGAAATCCGAATCATGCACCTTGCTGCTGGATACCTCTCTCGTTGCGATAGCTGAATCTCAAGATGAAAGAGATAATTGAATAACAACGACTGGTAGGTATGACCCAATATGTCATCCTACCAAGAGGAGAAATGCCATCCTGAAATACCAGGTGGTCGAGCCCAAGCTAGACAGCGAGTGACAGACACATGAGCAACAGCGACCTTCTTATTGAGGTTCCAAACCCTGAATAGACAGAGTTAATGCGAAGCAAGCTTAACAAGCTGGTGGGGCCTAATTGAGACACCTCTCGTTAGAGCTGAAGCGACACAGAAGAAGCAATTGCCGAAAAGGACCGAGAGGGTGCTTTGATATGTCGTGGCCATCTTGGGAAACACTGCGACGGGTTCCAGCAGCACAGGCCAGGGGAGTTGTCCAGTCAAGGGATCTCGGAGTGACAATTTCCCCTATGGATTGGCCCCAATAGACCAGAACACAGCTCTCTGAATTGGGGTGGAGAATCAAGAATGGTGCGATGCAATGAGGGTTGGTGGAGGTGCAGTGAACAGGAACTGTCTTCGGCCATTCCCCTTTTGGGTATCAAAGGACTCAGCGCCATCCTGCCCACTTCCTTCCTGCGCTGCCTCTGGTTTCACACACACAACACACACATCCCTCCTGTCTGACCAACACGGGAACTCATTTGCAGAAACCAGCACTAGTGGTAGCGCCACTATCTGCTCTTCTCCTTCTCTCGTTTAATATGGCCCTTGCTGGACGAAATACAAACAAGTAGGTGCTTCTGAGCGCCTTCAAGGCTCATCACGAGAAGCGCTATGTCTGACACCTCAGTCATTACGGCTAGGAGAGCGATCACACGAGATTCGTATGAGCATAGAGACTAGACTCTCATCGGCTCCAGAAAGCATCTGCCAAGAATTGGGATTGCGAACGGGTGTTACCAGCGTGAACGACTCCATTGGCATGAGGCTGGAGGAAAGGGACCGACATCGCCCTCAGCTAGCCTCCCAGGGCCTGTGCATAAATATTTAGTTTGCCGGTCTAGTGTCCGATCATCCTATAAGAGCCAACTCGATCCACGTGCTCATCTGTACGGGGGGAGTTCATTGCAAAGGGGCAGGCAGCAAACAGGCACCTGCAGCAAGCAGCCTTGGAACGGCAACCAGCGACCACATTGCCAGGCGTGGGTCCCTTGTCGTCACTCCTCACGGCTTCGGTTACTTCCTCCGCACGGCCTGGCCATTTAGCAGGGAAACATAGCGCCCGAGGGATCGTCATTGGGGTTCCGGCTGCGGATCGCCCCCGCGGACCCGGCTTGCGTCGCTGTGATTGTAGTACTACTAAGTGGGAGCTGAGTAGGAGCTGAGCAAGGGAGATCTGCGCATCGCACAGGGTAAATCTCCCGTGGTTCTCTCTCACACCTCACTTACTCTCGTTCTCCCACCCCTCTCTCTTCCCTCATTCTTCAACTTTCGCGTACCCTCTCTTCTCTTCGCCGTCTACTGTCCAGATTCTTCATGAGCATGAGCGACTCCTGAGAGAGCTGGATCACGTCAGGCGCTTGTTGTGTCATGCCAGAGCTTGCTCATCCATCCCTGTCTCCCTCCGAGGACTGCAGCCCCCGCGTCCATCCCCGTGAGTCCATGACGCTCCGTCACCGCGGTGCAGGCCGATCTGCAACCTTTGCAGAGGGTACCGCCAACCTGCGAAATCAACGTCGCAATTCCACCTTGTCCGACACAGTATCTGAGGCGCGGAACTCAATTCGGTCATCCACGGACGACATACTTTTCCCACGTGCGGCCAAGAGAAATGACGTGAACCTGACAAATGAAGAATCACATTGGCATTCAGCACCCTTGGGCCTCGCTTTATTGCCTGCGGTTGCCGGAATCTTTTTCCAGAACGGAAGTGCCGTGGTCACCGACGTCACCCTTCTAATTCTCGCAGCGGTCTTCTTGAACTGGTCCGTTCGATTGCCGTGGTAAGAGCACGCGCTCCCTATCCCCATACGTCACATGCTAAGCCAATTTCCATCTAGGGACTGGTATCGCTCCGCACAAGCTATTCGCCATGCAGATAGGTTCTTTGACGCGACGGATTCGCCATTTCGATCAGAAGCCGACGACCCTCCGTCCTCGCAGGGAGACAAAGGAGAAGTCACTGAGAGTGATGGCCAAAAGCTCCGTGATAGTGCTGCGGCAGCAGCAGCCAGTAGGGAGCTACAGATCCACGAAATCATAGCTCTTGTGTCTTGCTTCGTATTCCCAGTAATTGGGACATGGATTCTACACGCCATCAGATCCAAGTTATCGCGCCCTTCGGAAGGGCTAGTGTCCAACTACAACCTGACGATATTCCTGCTGGCGTCGGAGATCCGGCCTGTCTCCCATCTTCTAAGAATGGTACAGGCGCGAACGCTCCATCTCCAGCGAGTTGTCACATTGTCGTCGGAAGACGAATCAGACAGAATAGATGTGCATGATATTGCGAAGCGCCTTGAGGAGCTCGAAGCCCACGTAGCGGAGACTGCTGCAGCACGTCTGTCAGCCAGTACCGTGGATCAGGCGCAGCCACATACGCAAGATCTGGAAACGATTCAATCGGCAATCACGCAAACGGCTGCAGAAGTGCGGAAGACCTTCCAAGCAGACATTGATGCGCTGAATCGGGCCGTACGAAGGTATGAAAAGCGGACCGCCGTTTCTGCCTACCAAACGGATTCTCGTCTTCAAGCCCTGGAAACCCAGATGCATGACGCCTTCTCCTTAGCGGCAACAGCCCATCGAACAAGCATTCAACGGCCACAGGGAGCTTTTCTTATGATAGTCAATGGCATTTACGCTGCCTTTTTACTGCCTGTGCAGGCCTTCTTGTCCATTGTCACTCTCCCATTGCACCTGTCGAGAAGCTGCTTGCGTTATATCAAAGGCATACTGTTCTCAAAATCTTCACCAATTCCTCCCCTCACTAAAGAGAAAACACCACACAGCAAACCACGATTGGCGAAGAAGACAGCACGGTCAACCTCGGAAGAGGAGCGAAAAGATGCCCGGGCCCTTGGTCAGATCAAAGAAATTCAATAATTTCTGCAACCGGCGTTTCACTTTGCCGATCATAACTACATACCTAGATTATAGAAGACGGACTATGGGTCCCTTTTCGCTTCTTTTGTTTCCTTGGATTTACCCTCTTTGGAACTATAAGTCTTAACTACGTCTATTCGAAGATGAGAACGGTTTGTTGAATTGGATTTATAATAGTAGACCGAGATGGCTTGTAGACAGTCAATGGCAAATTGTGCGCTGTTTTAAGCTCAATTGTCTCCAAATCCTTCGACTACGTCTACTTAGTCCGATACTATATACTACGTACTAATGACATCAGCTAGGATCTGCGTAGCTCTATCCCAACTACTACCACCTGCCAATGTGACAGTAGAATATAACCATTCAACACAACTACCGTTACTAACTAGTATAAACAAACAAACTAATCCATCCCGAAGCAAAAGTCCGATACGAAGCGGAAAATTCTATACATATACATATACACACCTACATATATATATAATAACGAGTGGTAACACACAAAACAACTAACCATCCACTATAATCCTATCATCTTTCCTCTCCTCTCCTCTCCTCTCCTTTCTTCTTAGGAAACACCACCCCCGGAAGGCCCCTTATTATCAACCCCAATCGTCTTCAAAAACGGCTCAACGATCCCCCGTTTCCTTTCCTCTAGCGCACGCCGATCTTTCTCCTTTGCGGGCACAGTAATATCCGATGATATGAGGACGGATGAGAATATGGATGCCAGAGCGGTTTCCACGGCTTGACGACGAATGGCCATTGGACTGGGGGTAGAGGGATTGAGTGAGGGTTGTTCGGTTGCGATGCTTGAGATGGATGAGGTGAAGGTGCGTGTTTTACGGCGGATGAAGGCGGCGGGGGCAGGACCGGGCTGTGGTGTATCTTCTGGTGGGTTCTTCTGGGTGGTTGTGTTTGGTTGGGGTTCGTTGCCAGACGATGAGATTAGAAGGTTGGGCGTGGGGCCGCGGGTGTTGGTGTTGTTGGGGATGGAGGATGCAGGGGCGACTTCGTTGGCAATGCGGGCTAACATGAATGTGACGAAGGTGAAGGAGACGCTGTGAACTGGGGAGAAGGCGAGGCTTTCGAGGACCCAGGCCTGCGAGTCTTCCCAGGATAAGGGGGGTTGTTTGGTCTTTTCGCGAATGAGGAGTTGTTGGTCGAGGTCTTGCCAGACGGCGGCGGTGACAATACCGTCCTTCAGGGATCCGAGGAATGCGAGAAGTGTTTCGCTGAGGATTTCGAGACGTTGGAGTGAAGTTACCTCTGGGGCAAAAACGGAGTTGAAGTCCTTGTTGGTGTCGAGTGCTTCGCGAGCACGCGATAATAGATGGGATCGTTCATCTTGATCGCGGAGAGTCCAGGACTCGGGCTCAAAGGGCCATCCGAACCCAGAGGTCTCTCTCATCCATGGTGGCGTATCTTCTTCTGCCTCACTCCTGGTCATGCTCCACTCGGCAATGGCACGTTCTGATATCTCGGATATGGCCTCCGTCAAACGAAACAGTTCCCGAGGAGCCGACAAAGGGACGCCCGGGGTGTCTTTCTGGTCTTGGGGTGCCTTGGCTGGGACTAGGCTGCGTGCACCTGATTCAGGCATGACGGTTAGCTCCTGTAGTGAGCGGCCAAAACAGGTGGGCAGCCATTTGCCGTGAGCGGAGATGAAGTGATCTCGGCCCTGCGCAACCCGAAGGACGAGGATTTCCTCTAGACTCAGTTTCCCGCTGTTCAGTAAACGAGTCAGTTCGATGTCTCGAACGCATGCTGTGACCTCAATGTTGGCAATCTCCCCGGGATGCAGGGTACACTCATGAGACGGCGGTTTCTGGTTTGAGCCGGACTCCGAGTCGGAGTGATGTGGTTGGTCGATACGGTAGTCCAGCCAGGATGGCGTGTGGTTGGAGACATCTTGCTCCGGCTTTTCTAGGCTGAAAGTTGCTGGCACGCCGCTGGTGTTTGCGACCGTCAGTGTACGGGTGACAGGCACATCGAAAGGGACGTCACCAAAGTTCACGGCATTGGGGTCTTCACTTGTAGGTTGACTACCGTGGTGGTCCACCACAACAGTGAGTCCAGGCCGAGATTCGTTTTCCGCCTTATCCAGCTCCCGAACCACCTCCTGGTGTACCTTGGCTTTCAACTGCGGGTCCACCGAGTCGTATGTCAACGTAAATGCTGCGGCTAAGGGCTTATGATCAGAGGAGAGGATGCCTTGATGCGATACATAGTACTCAAGCTGCAGTGAGTTATCCGCATCGTCGTCCAGATCTAATGAGGCGTCACCGTTGGAATCTTTATCTGGATCGTATTCCTCCACACTGTCCGCTCCGTCGACGTCGGGGTCATAATCAAACAAGACGCTATCGTCCGCCACTGCCTTATCCAAGCCCCGGGCTTTCATTTCTTCGTCGCGTTTTCTGGCTTCCGCAGCTTCTTTGGCCAGTCTTTCGTATCGCATCCTGTCCTGGCGAGTCCGATACAGTATCCGATCACACCAACTGGGACCTCGGTTTTTCTCGCTTGTGTCAAACCTAGCAACACTTCCCACGTCATACTTGTACGTGGGTAGGAAAGTGATCGGGCCCTCCCGCCAACCATCATGGAAAGCTTTTCGCTTATCCTGCTGCATTCGAAGCTGGTCATGGGGCAGTAGTGACGATATGGTGGTTTGCAGAGACGCTGGGTCGGTGTGAGGATCCACATCCTCGTCCGAAACAGCTGGGAGGGGGCTGTCTGTGTCCTGCTTCTGCGCTTCATCCGTGCCCTCCAGCGATGTAGTGCTGTCCTTCGGTCCAGTCTGGGATTGATGTCTATCATCGTAGTCATTTGCTGTATGCCGGGCTAGGACTTGTCGCACGTCACCACCTGGGATATCCTCCAGGCGATAGTTGAGATCTCCAAACCAAAATGCATAGTCCTCCTTCCCTATGCTCTCGACGGGTTCTTCTCGAAGCGCTACATTTGGGTCGATGGGCTCAAACTTCGTCCGACCGACAATTTGTGAGGCATCCCAATTCCGTCGTTCCAGACTATTCTTGTCGGATCCAGCCGCCAAGTGACAGTTCACGAAGACCACGCATGTCGTTTCTCCCAACATTAATCGAGTTGTAACAGCACCTTTGTTGCCCATATATCCCAACAGGCCCGTGCCCACACTGGTGCAGCTAACGAACGACACTTGATCGGCGAGAAAAGGTGCCGCATATACCAATTGAAGCAGGCCCACCAGCTGAGTCTCCGCAACAAGCTTATAGCCTTCTGGCAGTGCTTTCTGGACCGCTGCTTTCCACCGGTTCGACGGTGCTGGGTCAACAAAGGGTCTCAAGGCCTCCGCAGGCGACGAGACATCCACGATCTCCTGTAACCCCAGAACGTAAAGGCCGATCTTGTCCGGCGCAAACTCGGCTAGGCTTCCACCATTCCCAGGCTCATTATTCCTCACACTAGCTTGCTCTTGCGAGTCAGAGACCCGAAGTCCGGATATTTGCTCGCATACGCCTTCCCGCTGTATGAACCACTTCCCAATGTCGTTCTCGGTGCCCGGAATGGCAGCGACATTCCAGGTGCCTACTTTCACACGAATCGTCTGTTGATGGGTATATTCAGCCTTCCTTGCCTTTACAGCCTGCGGGAGCGAAGAGGGATCGACCGACGGGTCCGGAGAGGGGTCGTTGCTACTGGAGGAATCGCTCGAGGACGAAGGCTGCGGTGCGGGCTGCGCTGAGCCCGAAGCCATATTGGGGAAGTCGCCGACTGTAGCACGCCGAGAAGACCCAGAAAAGTTATCTCGACGTTATATAGATATATCCCTAAGTGCGTCTAGACTTATGGGGTAGGAGGACCGGCGGCTAAGAATTCACCTGGAGGGGCAGTCACACGGTGCAGAGGGTAGGAGAGGATTTTCTTTCGCGCAGTTGATGATCTGCCTTGCTGGGACTATCGTAATGGACGAGTTGGAGGTACTGAAGGTAGTAGAGGTTCTGCTATCCCAGAAGCCGATCGGATGTAACGGAGGGAGGTGATGATGCACGCAAGGGTCCCGACGGAGGATACTATGACGCCGGGATTGATGAGGCTAAGCGCAGGGCGACCGATCGCAAATCCGCCGCGGACATGTACAAGAGGAGCCGACCGGTCAATTGGAATGGTTAGGAGAAGGTATAGTAGCAGAGGAAGTGGTGATGGAGGTGATGATGAGGACAGTTCCAGTCGTTTGGCACGGCGAGTCCAGACCGCGCGGGGGTCCCGACCGCTTCCCGAACAGAGCACCAGCTTTGCTTCGACGTTATCCTGCAACTTCTCTCTCTCCCTCTTCAGCTTGCTATAGCTCCAGCTTCCCCTCTTCCCCGTCCTCTCCATCTCCCTCAGTCTCACACCTATTTCTCCCCTATCCTCTCCTCTTTTCATCTCCCAGAGTTTAGGCATCCTGCATAATGACAGGCCGCAAGCCCCGCCGTCCAAACAACAATCACAACCACCGTCGTCATCCCAGCCAAGGCATCGCCCAACCCTCCGACTACGACTCCGACTTCCACAACTACCTCTCTGATACCCAGCAACTTCAAGATCCCCAAGAACCGTCTATGCCTCCTCCGCTCCGCTCCAACGAGGAGCTCAACCTCTCCGTCCTGCGCCGCCATAACCCCTCCATCACCAATATTCTCTCTCTCGCCCAATACGCCGTCGTCTACATCTTCAGCCCCAGCTCCCGACAATGGGAAAAGAACGGCATTGAAGGCTCCTTATTCGTCTGCCAACTCACTCAAGGCCCCCTAGGCGAGGAGCGGTACAGTGTCTTTGTGCTCAACCGACGAGGTCTGAACAACTTCGATCTCCTCCTCACTGACGGCGAGAACGTCGAAATCACCGAAGACTACATCATCCTGAAATCGGACTACAGCCCAGAGACGGAAGGAGTAGGAGCCAACAACAGCAATGGTATCAATGGCGCGAACGGATCCACCAAGCCGGGTGCTAACAACGGCACCAATGTCCGCATCTACGGTCTCTGGATCTACTCGGAGCCTCCGCCTAACTCAACCGCCGAGACGCGTACCATCAACGCCCAGATGATTTGTGAATGCGCAACTCACGCCGGACAGAGTATGAAGCTCGCGCGCGAGCGATTCGAAGCCGCGCAGCAGAACGGTCTGCATGTCGCTGCTGCTGTGGCGTCGGCGACCGCCCCTCCGCTGGAAGAGGTGCAGTCAAGTGTACCGATGGGTCGACAGATCTCGCTCAAGGATCTCTTTGGACAACAACGGACACAGGATGATGAATGGAGTGTCCGTGCACATCAGTTTGCGCCGAACGAGTGGCAGCAGCAGCAGCAGCAGCACCCGCCGGCTGCGGCGATGCCTGGCGTAGGCGCAAATCCGAATCCTCCGCAGCAGGATGTTCTTGGAGATTTGTTCCGGAGGGCTGGACTAGCGTATCAGGGGGGTCAATAGCGCGACGCTACTTGCCGTTGTCTTTTGTTTCGCCTTCCAGATGTTAGACACGTTAGATACCCATAATTCTATCCTTGACAGTATGATAACAATATACATATCCCACAAACCCTCTAGATATTCACACTATCTCCCCATCAACAACAGACCAAGATCTACCTTAATCAACCATCAACAATATCCATAACCATCCCCGCAACCTTCCCCGCCGTAACTTCACTATGACCTATACACACGCATTCACCATATTAGCAACCCCGAACCCCAACAGCAGAAAAAAATGTTAGTTAAAAAGTATAGTACTCACGTAAACAAAACGCATGCGGCAACCCATCCTCACAAACCACCATAGTTGGACCCGTCCCTCCCTTCCCCCTGCCCACCATACTACTACTCTTAGCCGTAGCCTTAGCCTGGATAATCTCCTCCCTCGTCTTCTCCGCAACCCAGTGATCATTCCGTCCAAAGTAGAAGAACATCCGAGAAGCTGTCACCTTGTCGTCTGCATTTCCTCCGGAGGAGGAAGAGGAGGAAGAGGAGGAAGAGGAAGCTATCCCCCAAACATCATCACTCCATTTATCCGTCGTGATGGTGCGCATTTCATCAGCGGCCATGTGTCTTTTTCATTTATGCGTTAATTTTCTTTCTCAAAGGGGGAAAAGGGGGAAGGGTGACATACAAAGCCTGCCTCACGCCTCTCCTACTCTTCAAAAAAGCGCAGGTAGTATCAACAGCCTGGGATGGCGGATCAGCCATGAATAGCTTGATAAGTGCACGGAGGGCGAAGTCTGGTAGAAGGGTAGTGAGGATGCGGGCGAAGATGGAGACGATTAGTGCGAGGTGGGGGATGAGGGATAAGAGGGTCTATATAGTTGGTAAGTATTGATTTATCAAGGTGAGGGTTGTGATATGGGAGGAGATGATGTACAGTCAACTTCTTCCCCGAGGGCGAACTGGCAATATCCATGACAGTCGGGAAGAGCATCACGCCACCGATGATGTCGAAGTCAGTAGTAGAAGTGGTATTGGAGTGGGCAGACGATTGGCGCTCGCGATGGCGCCGGATCACTTCCATGGCGATGTAGGTGCCCACGGAATGGCCCATGATAATGACCCGGGGCCGCCTAGAAGTAGATGATTGCGCAGTAGTGGCTTGCACGAAGGAGTCGAGCTTGTGCTGGATGAACTGGATCTGGTCTTCCACATTGTGGTAATGCGTGGGAAGGGGAGACTGAGACTGGACTTCGAAGCCTGCTAGGCTGTGGCCGTGGATGTAGAATTGATGGTGGTCTTTCTTCTCTTCGCTGCTGCTGCTGAGGGATTGGAGTTTGTCGGATAGGAAGGTGAAGAAGGGGTAGTAGTAGGAGATGAGACCTGGGTTTCCGGATATAAAATAGACTATAATTGGGGCTGGGGGTGGATTGGTAGGTAGGGTTGGTCGTGGCGGCGAGGTTGTGTGGAAGAAGCTGTCGGGGGTGACGTGGGGTTGCATTGAAGGGGCCATGGCCTGTCTGCACGATGCGGGGGTGTAGCCTACCCTGTAGTTACTTACGATTAGGGGAGAATAGTTGTAAGTAGATATTGAGTTGGCCGATCCAGGGTGGAAGAAAAGAGAGTTTCCCGGGATAAAACACCCGGTGGATTCGGGACCCGCATGCCGATCGTTCGTTCTATCCAGAAGCCGTTCCATCCAGACGCACGGACAGTAGCGCTACCCTACAAGTGCTCAGCTAACTACAGTGGGCAGGTCAGTTGTTTGCATCGAAGAGATCGGGTCAGATTAGACTGCGGCAACATAGTATGTGCAAGTCGGTCTTCCTCGAGAATGCATTTCAGTGTCCTCCAGCTAGACTATGCTCCTATCCAGGGCTCCTTGAACCACAAATGTGGCTAAACGATGGAGACAACGGTGTGCTCGCGCCATTCCACAATCATCAATCATCCCGAATGCCAAGCTGAACTGATCACTATCACGCGCGAAATAACAGTGTCCATGTAAAACGAGATCCCTGGTGGCCCTTGATTGTACGGCTGAAAGCGCCCCATCATATGCGTGAGAAGAACCGCAACAGCACCGGAAACTCCGGACAAGCGAGCAGTACAAGAAAAAAGAAAAGAGGTGGCAGAGAATGCGAGTAGATGTACATCGTGCCCATCTGATAAATGGGCAAAGGTATAATCGGAACAGAAAAGATCTCGCCGCAGAGCTGAGTCCGTAATACATGATATCTAAAAGGAAAGATGAAAATAGCAAGGATGCAGAAGGAACAGCACAATGAGATCGATCGTACAACAGAATACGTCCGGCTCACAAGGGCAGGGGAAAAGAAAAACACATCACTTCATCTGGTATCTAGGAGGCTGTCGTAAAAACAAGCAAGGAAAGATCCTGTTACTCTGACGAAACGCGAACGATGCTTGCAGCACATGTAAAAGACGGTTGCTCGACACAAGAGCCATCAAGGCATCAAACAAGACGAGGCGGATTCCAATTAGCCACCATCACCGCTGTGGTTGTCATCTCGATTTTCTTTCTCGTTGCTCGCATGGTCAGCTCCAGAATCGGTCGAGCCTGGGTCAGACGCCTTGATCGTAGCCGAGCTAAGGTTGATCGCGATTCTCTTCGGTGGTGCACTGCTGTTGAGGGTCCCCAGCGCTGCCCCCTTGTCGTTGGCGGAAAGCGAGCCAATCGACACACTTCGCTTCCTCCGCACCATTCCGGCAGTGCCGGGGCCGGCGCTGGTTGAACTTCTTCGTTTAGGCCCAGCTGTGAGCTTCATCAGCTCATCATCGTCTTCCTCCTCGCGCCGACGCTTTTCCGACAACCGTTCGGGTGGCGTTTGAGGCGTCGAGACCGGAGTGGACGGCGAGTCTGCGGGTGAGCCGGCAGCAGCATCATGTTCCGGGCCATCTTGCTGCGGTTGTTCCTGGTTCTGTGGCGCTTGTCCATCGCTGGGTTCTGGTTTTGTGTCCATCGCATCGTCCTCGTCGTCATCATCCGGGTAATCGACGAGCGGTTTGACGATGGGCGACGCAGCGCCATTCTGCATTCGGGCAGCATCTGATGCGGTCTGCCTACTCTCCTGCTGCCACTGATATCCATGGTTAGCCGATTCCGGAAGGAGACCATGCTGGATCAAGCGCCTTACCTCTTCATCATCAGAGGTGTTGAAATACTCCTCCTCGGCAGCATCCATCTCCCCAACACCTTGCCAACGCTGGCCGCCGGCTTGCATCCTTCGGGAAGGCATCGCCTCCTCATGCGACATGAGGGTCGACTCCGGTTCAGCACCGTAGCCCTGCATTTGCTCGTAGCGTAGAATCAAGCTCTGGAATGTGTCCACGTAGGTGATGTTTCTGATTTTTTCGCCATACTTCTCCACTACGTGGAGAACAAACGGTTTCATGTTCTCGCATCGAATCGCTTCGAATAGTTCGAGACAGGCCGAGTTCAGGAGGTTATCACGGGGCATAGTCTCATAAACAATGTCCAGAATGAGCCCGAAGATGTTGTTATGGGTCATCAGAGCCTGGTAGAACGTGTCTTGAAGACTAGTCAAAGCACGGAAAAATCTCAACGCAGCTGAGAACACAGCACTATTAGAATATTTCCCATGCTGATGATCTGGTTACAGGGACAACTTACTCAGCTTAAGGTGCTTGTGGGGTACCGTGAGTAATTGAGCGATTCGAGGGGCAAGGGATTCGTTTTGAATGACATTCCGACTCCGGTATAGGTGTTGGCGGACAAAGAACGTTAAGATATCAACAAGATGGGAATACAGCGCCACATCCTGGAAGCTTAAGTTCCGAACTAAAGAGGTCACAAGGCAGTTAGTCATCGTCAGATACCTGGATGAATTTTCTGTGAAAACATACGGTGGTCATCATGTTCGAGTCGTTTCAGCGGCCAGAATAACCGCCTCGCGGATTCATCGAAATGGTTCTGAACAAAGGCATCAGAGAGGATATTCGGACGCGGTTTGTTGTAATTCTCAGGCCCCGCCCGGCCCATGGTATCTTGCAAAGGAATCTGGGGATCCAGTAGAACTTTGACGGCATCTGCGAGTTGGTTCTTGACCCCCAAGTCGTTCTCGGTATGCAGCAAATCAATCAACGTGTCGGTCAAGGGTGTCTTCTTCTCGTTGACAGCTTTCAGCATATAGCCACGCATCATTACGGGGTCGTGGTCAAGAAGTGCCACTAGAATATCAATTCCAGTCGTACGCAGAGCCGGTTTGGGGTGTTTGATGGCGAAAGCAATGACGGCAAACAGGCCATGGTTGATAAAGTTCGCAAAGAGATTGGCACGCGCCGGCGCCTGCAAATTCTTTGCGATGACAGCGCATTGGTGGAGAAACTGGACTGCGTCCTCCTTGCGTTTGGTGTCCGCGCTTCTTGGGTCGAAGACCGAAAATAATTCCTTCAAAAAGGGTCCATTTGCCTGAATGTGGTTGACGATCTCGACCTGATTGAAGAAGATCAAGGAATTGAGAACCGAGAAAGTCGGGTCATCTAGAATGCGAGCCAAGACCACATCCTTGAGATACTGCAAGCGCCATGTGTAGCTGATCTTGCGGCGAATTAAGGGATCCTTGATAGGTACAACTTCCTTGTAGCGCGACTTGTCTGCAAGGTATTGCCGGTGGTTCGCTTTGTGGTGTGGAAACTCGGGGTCGTCTGAAATCCGTCAGCAACACGGTCAGTCCGGAGGACACCAGTATACGCACATTCCAATGCTCCCACCACGCCAAGGATGATAGGATCTGTAACTACTGTCTCGATGATGGTGTTGTCGTTGAGAAGGATGAGCGACTTCATAATATTGCACAGGCGATGTAGATCGGAGAGACTTTCGAGATCCTCGGCCATCGTGACTAACGGGATAAGCTTGGGGATGTACTCTTCTCGGATGACGAATTTCGATAGCGCATCACGTCCGGCCTGGGTAATGCTAGCGGCCCTCATAACATGATCAATCTCAGGCAGGTTTCCGAGTTCGGGTGGAGGCAGCATGATCGACTGGTAGCTTTCTATCTCGTCTGACAGAGCATCTTCTGGAGCACCAGACGTGAAATTGGTCAGCAATGACAACCGGAAAAGCGTTGTAAGCGAGCAATAGGCAAAGACGAACCTCCTGGTGCCAAGTTCAATAGATGCTGCTGTACGCTAGTCACAAAATTCCTATATCGCCGTCAGCGATGGATTGGATTCATTGCCGCAAAGCTCCTGGATGGCATGTGCAAGCCTTACCAGATCACAGCGCACCCTTCCGCTTCCTGGAAACTCAGCGCCATGTCCGTCCCATTTGGCTCGGTCCATACTATTAACGTTTCTAGATCACGTCGCGGAAATGTCAGCTCGCATTCTGCGATCTCGCTCGCTGCGTGCGATGCGGCCAAAGGCGTAAGGGGCAGCGGACCTTGTTGTTTCTGATAGCCGTCATCCTTGGAGATCTTGGTCTCCAGGAGCACACGATTAGGCTCATCCTCCGACTCGACGAATATCCGCGGTTCATCCTGGGAACAGAGAGGGGAGTGTTAGCGACAGCCAGGTGAATTGAGGCACGCGCTTGAGAGCCGCAATGTTTGCGCCCGAGGAGCGGGCGACGGAGATCGCGCTGCGGCCAGACACATGGGCGGCGACCGGGACTCACATCGAGGATCTGCCCTGTACAAAAACCCGTCCCGCGATCAAACCAGTCATTATCTTTGAGTTCGTAAACTTTCACCCGCTTGCGATCGCTGGGTGGTTGCACCTCCAACGCCATGGTCCGGCAGAATGGCGAGGTGGCGTCTCGTCACTCCGGGACAACTCAGGAACGAGTGTGCACCGGCGCGAGGAGAGCCCCGAGAAGGCGGAATGATAAGACGGACCGCGGCTTGGTCCAGATTGGACGAGGGAGGAGGAGGAGGGGGGGGAAAAGGTTAGGTTGGTTTGGTTTGGTTTCGGGGGCGGAAAGGGAAGGAAAGTGGGGAACAAAGGCAAAGGGTTAAAATTAAAAAAAGGAATAGAAGAAGGGAAGAAGAAGAAGAAGAAGAATGAAGGGAAGGGTGGAGGTAGAGGGGGGGGGCGCCGCGGGTTGTTGTTTGGAAGTTTGAAAGTTCGGAAGTTTGGTCGGAGGGAAGGGGAAGAATGATGTAAAAGACTTGCGAAGAGCTTAAGTCAAAGATGACGAAGAGGCCCTACTTAGGAGGGGGGGGAAAAGAGGTTGGAAAGGATGGAAAAGAATGGGGAAAGTGAACTGAGAATGGATGGGGCAAGGGAAATAACAATAATAATAATAATAATAATAATAAGTTCGGGTGATGTTGGGTGTGCGAGGGAAAGCACAATGGATGGATGGACAGATGAAGGTTGTGCTTTTTGGCTGCTTTTGCTCTTGCTTCTGCTCTGCTCTGGCGCTGCTTTTGCGGATGAGAATGATGGATGATGATCCTGAACTTTGGGGTCGGGACCACCTGACGGCCTCGGCTGTGGTTGGCGCTGTTGTCTCTATTCTATCTTTTTTGGCACTTTTTCTGTCTCTTATCCGTTCTTTGCGTTTGGTGCCGACGCGCTACGAGATTCACCCAGCACACGCGACCGGAGATTAGGAAGCCACTGGGAGAAAGGATTTGGTTGCTTGCTTTGGACGCTGGGGACACCAGCCAGCAGCGCTTTCGGAGGAATCGGACTTGGAACGATCTTCTTGCGAACAAGCTAGAGAGCTAGGCGTCTCGAGCTGATGTGACTCGGCAAAGAAATGCGATCATGCTATTCAAAAGTTGTTCATGATAGTTAGTCACAGCCACTACTACTAACTTGTAGTTTATAGTAGTTAAAGATGTCCTGAAGAAAGGAGACGAGCCGAAGACGCGCGAGACGGGGATCTGCAGGGAAGCGACCGAAGGGAACCAGCGTCAACCAGGGGGGGGGTCAACTGGTTACAAATGACGTGCTCCCGCCGTATACATATCTGGAGAGTATCTACTACGTACTATACTACTACTGTTATATTTCTAGAGGATTTTAAATAGCCTTTCTATATGTCAGGTAAAGTTGGTTGGATTCCAGAAAGCTTAACAAATCTCAGAATGTTTCAGGGGTTGTTAAATGTCAGGTCCACTTTGTCTGACAATTTTGTACCCTACAAAGACTTATAATAAAAATAAGTTAAATCATAGACACAATTACTGTACACAGTGTAGATACAAATCAGCCTATACACCGAGGGTCTCAACTCTCAGGTGATAACCCTCAGTAGCCATCGTTGTCATACCTCCCCCGGCCTTCGGAGTTTGGAGTTTCTAATTATAATCCTTTTCCTCCCGAACCAAACAAAGTCTGGCCCAGTCGGTCTCCAGTCTCCACGTCTT